TAAATATTTTCTTATAAAATATGAAGATTAGTTAAAGATAATGGACATTTTTGTTAAAGATAATAGACTAAATGAAATTGAAATAAATATGAAAGATAATAAATAAAATTTAAAAAATTTAAAAATAATAGATAAAACTGAAAAAAATATGAAAGTTAATAGATAATTTGTTAAATTAACCCGATGTCGGAACGTTGGATAGATTACAGGGTAGCCCATTGAGCGGTACGTGTCATGTTTTTATTGGCTATTCAGTCGGGCTTTCAAACGAAGGCCAGGATTCCCAAACCCGAAAGCATTAATGGGCCCTATTTGCGTTGCCGATGATACGTTGGGTCGGCCTAATTTGCGTTGCGAAACCAAACGTGTTCGGTTCGTGCAAAAATGAGTTTGTTAGTTATAGTTACTAATAAATAAGGGACCATATTTTACCATTTAAATTATACTAAAGAATTTTTTTAATCTGTATTTTAACGACGTATTAAATATATATAATTTTTATAAATGTATATAAAAAAATATAAAATTTGATATTAATTTTAATGTCAAATAAATTTAATTAGATAATTAATAAATTAAACGTTAATTTTTATTTTTACAATATAAATTTATAATAAAAAAATATATTTAATACATCTTAAAAGTAGAATTTAGACAAACTTTATAATAAATTATGAAATAAAAATTATTTTATATAAAAAAATCTTAATATTAAAATTTTAATTTTCATTTAAAGATTAATATTATACAATTTAATACATTGCTCCAGGAACTGGCTCCGGCACTCGATCGTACTCTACAATGATTATTGTAATAATAATTTTGCATGAAAATAATCGAATTACAAAAATAAGATGATTATTGAAATAACTCCCTTTAGAGGGAAAGTCTACAATATTGGATATACCATGTAGGATGTAACCCAAATCGATAATTTTTTTGATACGTTTCAAATTGTAGGACCATGAAACACCTAAAACTAATACCATTTCTTGCCTTCCTGCTTCCTTTCTTTGAGCTGTTTAGCTTTTTTTTTTTTTTTTTTGGTATTAATCTTTTAGTATCGAGTAACTATATTGAATCTCGATTAATTCAGAATCGAGCTGCATCAATCTCATTAGGGAGAACCTCTCCCAACACCTATTTCTTTATTCACAAAACTCGAATTCAATACTTTACTTAAAAAGAACCGAGTTCTTTCCACTCAGTTTAACTACTACTACTTCTTCTTCTTCCTCTCTCCCTCTCGGTTTAGCTACTACTACTTCTTCTTCTTCTCCTCCCTCCCTCTCTCCCTTTGGTAACTATATTGGGTCTCAACTAATTCAAAATCGAACTGTGTCGATCCCATTAGGGGAAGCTCTCCCAGCACCTTACTTAAAAAGAACCGAGTTCTTTTCACTCAGTTTAACTACTACTTCTTCTTCTTCCTCTCTCCCTCTCGATTTAGCAACTTTTTCTTCTTCTTCTCCCTCCCTCCCTCCCTCCCTCCCTCCCTTCCTCCAGTAACTATACTGGGTCTCGACTAATTTATAATCAAGCTGGGTCAACCTCATTAAGGGGAAGCTCTCCCGGCACCTGTTTCTTTATTCACAAGACTCGAATTCAAGACCTTATTTAAAAAGAACTGATTTCTTTCTACTCGGTTTAACTACTACTACTTCTTCTTCTTCTTCCTCTCTCCCTCTCGGTTTAACTACTTCTTCTTCTTCTTCTCCCTTCTCCCTCCCTCCCTCTGGTAACTATATTGGGTCTCGACTAATTCAGAATCGAGCTGCGTCAACCCCATTAGGGGAAGCTCTCTCAACACCTATTTTTTTATTCACAAGACTCGAATTTAATATCTTACTTAAAAAGAATCAAGTTCTTTCAACTCAGTTTAACTACTACTACTACTTCTTCTTCTTCCTCTCTCCCTCGCTGTTTAGCTACTTCTTCTTCTTCTTCTTCTTTTTCTTCTTTTTCTTCTTCTTCT